GGGGTGCAGGGGTGTTTGGTGGCTGCGACGGGGGGGAAAGCGATGGGGCGGGCAGGGGTTCGGTCCCTGGCGACTGAATTGACGTGCGTCGCCAGGGACGTCGAAGGGTCTTTTCGCGCCTTCGGGGTGGAAAACACACGGCAGTTAGGGGAGGGAGGTCGCACGTGCCACCGTCGACGATGTCATTTCCCACCAGAAAGAAGCGACGTCACGGGAGGTCCATCTCCGAAAGACTGCTTAAGTCCTGCGCATCCCGACCCGTTTGTATGTCGTCCACGCCGCGAAGTTGTCTCCAGTACAGCAGCCCGCCGCGCCTGCCGCAAGCCGCCCGCAACAACGACGAGGTGCTGCAAGCCTGGTCGCCGCGGATCATTGTGATCGTCGCTCTTGTATTCTTCTCGCCGCCAGTCTTCTCAACGCGGATTACTCTCGCCGTGGCCTTCGTCCTTCTGTGAACCACGCACACGTCGTCGTCTTCTTCCCACGGAGGACTGATCTCCTGCGTCGTGGGGGTGTTCGTCGTCATCACGTCTTCTTCTTGCGGAGGAGAGATCTCCTGTGTGCCACGTGCATGTCGTCGTCTTCGTCCCGTGGAGGAGAGATCTACTGCGTCGCATGGATGTCCGTCGTCGTCGCTTCTTCCTCCCGCAGAGGACAGATCATCTGTCTACCACGTGCACGTCGTTGTCGTCACGCCACAGCCGCACGGGAGACCTTTTTCACGGGAGACATATTTTTCGCCAGGTCGGCCACACTTCCCGCTCGTCCGATCACACTGCCAAGCTCGCCTTCAAAGGTCGCCACAAAACACGTCTACGCAAGGGAACACTCGTGGGAAGAAGCGCGACGTGGTCATCGACGATAGTCAAGAGCAGGGAAGAGGGCGGCGACAAGCCCCGAAAGCGAAGAGGGTGCGTACGGAAGATGCGTTGCCAAGGGTTCGTGGTCGTGGAGCGCAAGGTTGGGCGGGGGAAGTGGAAGGGGACTGTGACGATGAGTTCACGGCGGAGGAGGAGCAGGCGGAGGCGACAACGTCTGAAGTACGCGAGAGCGATCGACAGCGCTCTTCTGATAGCACCGCTTCGAAGAGGATGCAAACCCCTCCACACGAGGCGCAGCAACTGCGTGGCCGTGAAACGTGGACAGAGAAGGCTCCCGTCGTCGATCTTGGCGGCGATGATGACGAGCCCTTGGAGAGACGCCGCATTCGCATTCGTACGACGGCGACCCCACCGCCGGAGGTGGTCGTGCGGGTTGCTACAAACAATAGGCCAGTTTCGGGCAGGCTGCCCGCCACGCCGTCTCAGCCACATCAGCGTAACGACGCTGGTGATGGAGGGTCCGTCCAACGTGTTGGCGGGGGGGAAGTCGTGGCAGACGCTCGCACAGTTGGTGCCCAGGTGGCAGGTGTCGTGGGGGCGGTTGGTTCAGGCAATGTGGGCACCGTAGCGACTGGGAGGGAGGACGCAGAAGTTGTGGCGACGGCGAGAGAGGAGGCGCGTGGCAAGAGGAAAGTCGAGGGGGAGGCAGGCGAGGCCGGTTCAAGTCGGCCACGAAGGAGTGTCATGACAAAAGACCTCATTGATTGTGTTGTCCTTTGGGTCGATGACAAAGCTTTCTGGACGACGGGGGAAGGGCGAAGACTATACAACATCGTACACGAAACGAAAGACTACTTCGTCGCCATCGCCAGCGGACTTCCAGCGCCTGACGTCCCTCGGAGCGTCGTTCTGCCCAAAGCCAGCACGCGCGTGGCCAGGATCGTCGACCAATCGCAGCTGCAGCAAGCGATCTCCCGTGCGGCGGCAGTGGAGAACGTTGCTCTGTGCATCTTGCACGGATGGGTATTCAAGTCCGGAAATCGGCCAAGGGGATACCATGTGGCTTTCCAGTACTCGCTGGAATCCTTTGCGACGGACATTGCGCGTGCCATGTGGTACGGCGAGGAGTGGTGCGAGGTTGTCAGTCCGGCGATTTGCGCGCACACGATAGATTTGTCCATGGACCTACCGCTTTGGTTCGCCGGCGCCAACATCGAGGACAGACCAGAGGACGACGACATGGCGGCGCATCAGGAGTCCACCGTCATCCGCGTCGCGTATGCATTCCGCGTGGCCGTGCAAATGGGGGCGCTCATCGACGGCGAGTTCATCTCGCATGATCGTCTTTCTCGGGTGGCTGATTGCTTCAGGCTGTTGTTGGCGGCGTGCATGTGGATAATGCGCATGGCGGGAGACGATCCGCGCAGCCACTACGAGGCTTTCAACTTCGTGGACCTCGTGGCGAAGCCCACACTCGTCGCGGCCATGCATCGCTCCTTCGATCATCGACGATCCATCGTCCGCGCCGCGAAAGTCGTCACAGACAGGCTAGGGAAGGCGACCGCTACGTTCGGACAGTACCCCAACTACATACCTCAATGGGCGCCCTGCGGCATTGCTTTCAGGCACGACGCGAGCATAACGGGGACGGAGGATGCAAAGAAGCTAGATAGGTTGGGTTTGGGCCCCCCTGATGATGACAACAACGACGATGGGAAAGATGACGCGTAGGG